CCCCTACACATCCTATAGAGTTAGTAGTATCTACTGACCTACACATCCTACATCCTATAGAGTTAGTAGTATCTACTGACTCTATACCCCTACACATCCTACATCCTATAGAGTTAGTAGTATCTACTGACTCTATACCCCTACACATCCTACATCCTATAGAGTTAGTAGTATCTACTGACTCTATACCCCTAAACATCCTACATCCTATAGAGTTAGTAGTATCTACTGACTCTATACCCCTACACATCCTATATCCTATAGAGTTAGTAGTATCTACTGACTCTATATACCCCTACACATCCTACATGCTATAGAGGTAGTACTATCTACTGACTCTATATACCCCTACACATCCTATAGAGTTAGTAGTATCTACTGACCTACACATCCTACATCCTATAGAGTTAGTAGTATCTACTGACTCTATATACCCCTACACATCCTATAGAGTTAGTAGTATCTACTGACTCTATATACCCCTACACATACTATAGAGTTAGTAGTATCTACTGACTCTCTATACCCCTACACAACCTACATGCTATAGAGTTAGTAGTATCTACTGACTCTCTATACCCCTACACATCCTATATCCTATAGAGTTAGTAGTATCTACTGACTCTCTATACCCCTACACATCCTACATCCTATAGAGTTAGTAGTATCTACTGACTATACCCCTACACATCCTACATACTATAGAGTTAGTAGTATCTACTGACCCTATATACCCCTACACATCCTACATCCTATAGAGTTAGTAGTATCTACTGACTCTCTATACCCCTACACATCCTACATGCTATAGAGTTAGTAGTATCTACTGACTCTCTATACCCCTACACATCCTACATACTATAGAGTTAGTAGTATCTACTGACTCTCTATACCCCTACACATCCTACATGCTATAGAGTTAGTAGTATCTACTGACCCTATATACCCCTACACATCCTATAGAGTTAGTAGTATCTACTGACCCTATATACCCCTACACATCCTACATACTATAGAGTTAGTAGTATCTACTGACTCTATACCCCTACACATCCTATAGAGTTAGTAGTATCTACTGAATCTCTATACCCCTACACATCCTACATGCTATAGAGTTAGTAGTATCTACTGACCCTATATACCCCTACACATCCTACATACTATAGAGTTAGTAGTATCTACTGACTCTATATACCCCTACACATCCTACATCCTATAGAGTTAGTAGTATCTACTGACTATACCCCTACACATCCTACATCCTATAGAGTTAGTAGTATCTACTGACTCTCTATACCCCTACACATCCTACATACTATAGAGTTAGTAGTATCTACTGACTCTATACCCCTACACATCCTACATCCTATAGAGTTAGTAGTATCTACTGACTCTATACCCCTACACATCCTACATCCTATAGAGTTAGTAGTATCTACTGACTCTATACCCCTAAACATCCTACATCCTATAGAGTTAGTAGTATCTACTGACTCTATACCCCTACACATCCTACATCCTATAGAGTTAGTAGTATCTACTGACTCTATATACCCCTACACATCCTACATGCTATAGAGGTAGTACTATCTACTGACCCTATATACCCCTACACATCCTATAGAGTTAGTAGTATCTACTGACCTACACATCCTACATCCTATAGAGTTAGTAGTATCTACTGACTCTATACCCCTACACATCCTACATCCTATAGAGTTAGTAGTATCTACTGACTCTATACCCCTACACATCCTACATCCTATAGAGTTAGTAGTATCTACTGACTCTATACCCCTACACATCCTACATCCTATAGAGTTAGTAGTATCTACTGACTCTATACCCCTACACATCCTATATCCTATAGAGTTAGTAGTATCTACTGACTCTATATACCCCTACACATCCTACATGCTATAGAGGTAGTACTATCTACTGACTCTATATACCCCTACACATCCTATAGAGTTAGTAGTATCTACTGACCTACACATCCTACATCCTATAGAGTTAGTAGTATCTACTGACTCTATATACCCCTACACATCCTATAGAGTTAGTAGTATCTACTGACTCTCTATACCCCTACACATACTATAGAGTTAGTAGTATCTACTGACTCTCTATACCCCTACACAACCTACATGCTATAGAGTTAGTAGTATCTACTGACTCTCTATACCCCTACACATCCTACATCCTATAGAGTTAGTAGTATCTACTGACTCTCTATACCCCTACACATCCTACATCCTATAGAGTTAGTAATATCTACTGACTATACCCCTACACATCCTACATACTATAGAGTTAGTAGTATCTACTGACCCTATATACCCCTACACATCCTACATCCTATAGAGTTAGTAGTATCTACTGACTCTCTATACCCCTACACATCCTACATGCTATAGAGTTAGTAGTATCTACTGACTCTCTATACCCCTACACATCCTACATACTATAGAGTTAGTAGTATCTACTGACTCTCTATACCCCTACACATCCTACATGCTATAGAGTTAGTAGTATCTACTGACTCTCTATACCCCTACATATCCTACATGCTATAGAGTTAATAGTATCTACTGACCCTATATACCCCTACACATCCTACATCCTATAGAGTTAGTAGTATCTACTGACTCTCTATACCCCTACACATCCTACATGCTATAGAGTTAGTAGTATCTACTGACTCTCTATACCCCTACACATCCTACATGCTATAGAGTTAGTAGTATATACTGACTCTATATACCCCTACACATCCTATAGAGTTAATAGTATCTACTGACTCTATATACCCTTACACATCCTACATCCTATAGAGTTAGTAGTATCTACTGACTCTCTATACCCCTACACATCCTATAGAGTTAGTAGTATCTACTGACTCTCTATACCCCTACACATTCTATAGAGTTAGTAGTATCTACTGACCTACACATCCTACATACTATAGAGTTTGTAGTATCTACTGACTATATACACCCCCTACACATCCTATATACTATAGAGTTAGTAGTATCTACTGACTCTATATACCCCTACACATCCTATAGAGTTAGTAGTATCTACTGACTCTCTATACCCCTACACATCCTATAGAGTTAGTAGTATCTACTGACTCTCTATACCCCTACACATCCTACATGCTATAGAGTTAGTAGTATCTACTGACTCTATATACCCCTACACATACTATAGAGTTAGTAGTATCTACTGACTCACTATACCCCTACATATTCTATAGAGTTAGTAGTATCTACTGACCTACACATCCTACATACTATAGAGTTTGTAGTATCTACTGACTATATACACCCCCTACACATCCTATATACTATAGAGTTAGTAGTATCTACTGACTCTATATACCCCTACACATCCTACATCCTATAGAGTTAGTAGTATCTACTGACTCTCTATACCCCTACACATCCTATAGAGTTAGTAGTATCTACTGACTCTATATACCCCTACACATACTATAGAGTTAGTAGTATCTACTGACTCTCTATACCCCTACACATCCTACATGCTATAGAGTTAGTAGTATCTACTGACTCTATATACCCCTACACATACTATAATAGCATTAGTAGTATCTACTGACTCTATATACTCCTACACATCCTACATGCTACAGAGTTACACAGCAGCTCACAGTTCTTGCCGGTCTTCATCCGAAGCGAGCTGGCCCATCACATGATAACAGCTCAACCCAATGGCTTAGATCATCATCACCACCAACACCACGTGGACGTTAGCAGCAGCGGCAGCAGTGAAATACTCAGAGGACCCGGAGAAAAATCCACACGACCACGCGGAGGGAGAGAGAGAGAGAGAGACGCAGACTCCAAATACACAGCATCAGCAGCAGCAGGCTTCGTCAGGGTCCGGGATTGAACCCACGACCTCCCGTATTACCAGGCGAGGTAGTCAACATCTCCCTAGCCACCGTGACACACACAGAGACCCATAGGCTCTCACAGAGACCCATAAACTCACACGTGGAGCGAGAGAGAGAGAGACGCAGACTCCACATAGCAGTAGGCGTTGTCAGGGTCCAGGATAGAACCCACGATCTCCTTTATACCAGGCGAGGTATTCAATATCTCCCTAGCCACCGTGACACACACAGAGACCCATAGGCTCTCACAGAGACCCATAAACTCACACGTGGAGCGAGAGAGAGAGAGACGCAGACTCCACATAGCAGTAGGCGTTGTCAGGGTCCAGGATAGAACCCACGATCTCCTTTATACCAGGCGAGGTATTCAACATCTCCCTAGCCACCGTGACACACACAGAGACCCATAGGCTCTCACAGAGACCCATAAACTCACACGTGGAGCGAGAGAGAGAGAGACGCAGACTCCACATAGCAGTAGGCGTTGTCAGGGTCCAGGATAGAACCCACGATCTCCTTTATACCAGGCGAGGTATTCAACATCTCCCTAGCCACCGTGACACACACAGAGACCCATAGGCTCTCACAGAGACCCATAAACTCACACGTGGAGCGAGAGAGAGAGACGCAGACTCCACATAGCAGTAGGCGTTGTCAGGGTCCAGGATAGAACCCACGATCTCCTTTATACCAGGCGAGGTATTCAACATCTCCATAGCCACCGTGACACACAGAGACCCATAGGCTCTCACAGAGACCCATAAACTCACACGTGGAGCGAGAGAGAGAGATGCAGACTCCACATAGCAGTAGGCGTTGTCAGGGTTCAGGATAGCACCCACGACCTCCCGTATACCAGGCGAGGTAGTCAACATCTCACCGGGGTAGGGAGAGACCCACGACCTCCTGCGTACCAGGCGAGGTCGTCAACATCTCACCGGGGTAGGGAGAGACCCACGACCTCCTGCGTACCAGGCGAGGTCGTCAACATCTCACCGGGGTAGGGAGATACCCACGACTTCCTGCGTACCAGGCGAGGTCGTCAACATCTCACCGGGGTAGGGAGAGACCCACGACTTCCTGAGTACCAAGCGAGGTCGTCAACATCTCACCGGGGTAGGGAGAGACCCACGACCTCCTGCGTACCAGGCGAGGTCATCAACATCTCACCGGGGTGGGGAGAGACCCACGACCTCCTGCGCACCGGGCGAGGTCGTCAACATCTCACCGGGGTAGGGAGAGACCCACGACCTCCTGCGCACCGGGCGAGGTCGTCAACATCTCCCCTGGCCCGCCGGCGGTGGCAGCTTGGTGAGCAGCGCCGTGACCCCACGATGCGTCGTAGGTGGAGGCCCATCCTCCTCATCCTCCTCATCCTCGTCATCCTCGTCGCCATCGTCGTTGGTGGCGGCGGCGGCGGCGACGGCGTTGTTGATGGCGGCGGTGGCCTTGTTGGCGGTGGCGGCGAGGCCGCCGCCATCGTCGGCGTCACCGGCGAGGCCTCCCCCGGCGCCGGTGCCGGCGAGGCCTCCCCCGGCGTGGCCGCGGCCGACGGCCTCGAAGTGCCGGGCGATGTCCAGCAGGGAGCGGTTTTTGGTCTCGGGCAGCCAGCGGTGGACGAGGACGGCGGCCAGGAGGCAGTCGGCGGAGAAGAGGAGGAAGCAGAAGGGGCCCAGCGACTCCTGGGTGGGGTGGGCGGGGCGGGGGGGGGGGGGAGATGGGAGGGTGGTGGAGGGAGTGGGGGGTGTGGTTGGGTGGGGGGCGGGAGGATCTCTCCGCTGCTGGATGGTGGAGCCACACAGGTCCGTGTGGTGGACTCGTCTCTGTGCGAGTCTGTGTGGGGTCTCTGTGTGAGTCTGTGGGTTTCTGTGTGAGTCTGTGGGGTCTCTGTGTGAGTCTGTGGGTCTCTGTATGAGTCTGTGTGTGTGTGTGAGTCTGTGGGTCTCTGTGTGAGTCTGTGGGGTCTCTGTGTGAGTCCGTGGGGTCTCTGTGCGAGTCTCTGGGTCTCTGTGTGAGTCTGTGGGATCTCTGTGTGAGTCTGTGGGGTCTGTGTGAGTCTGTGGGGTCTCTGTGTGAGTCTGTGGGTCTCTGTGTGAGTCTGTGGGGTCTCTGTGTGAGTCTGTGGGTCTCTGTGTGAGTCTGTGGGGTCTCTGTGTGAGTCTGTGGGGTCTCTGTGTGTGAGTTTGTGGGTCTCTGTGTGTGAGTTTGTGGGTCTCTGTGTGAGCCTGTGGGTCTCTGTGTGAGCTGTGGGTCTCTGTGGGTCTCTGTGTGAGTCTGTGGGGTTTCTATGTGAGTCTGTGGGACTCTGTGTGAGCTGTGGGTCTCTGTGGGTCTCTGTGTGAGTCTGTGGGTCTCTGTGTGAGTCTGTGTGAGTCTGTGGGGTCTCTGTGTGAGTCTGTGGGTCTCTGTGTGAGTCTGCGGGGTCTCTGTGTGAGTCTGTGGGGTCTCTGTGTGAGTCTGTGGGGTATCTGTGTGAGTCTGTGGGTTTCTGTGTGAGTCTGTGGGGTCTCTGTGTGAGTCTGTGGGTCTCTGTGTGAGTCTGTGGGGTCTCTGTGTGAGTCTGTGGGTTTCTGTGTGAGTCTGTGGGGTCTCTGTGTGAGTCTGTGTGGCTCTCTGAGTGAGTCTGTGGGTTTCTGTGTGAGTCTGTGGGGTCTCTGTGTGAGTCTGTGGGTTTCTGTGTAAGTCTGTGGGTTTCTGTGTGAGTCTGTGGGTCTCTGTGTGAGTCTGTGTGTCTCTGTGTGAGTCTGTGGGTCTCTGTGTGAGTCTGTGTGAGTCTGTGGGTTTCTGTGTGAGTCTGTGGGGTCTCTGTGTGAGTTTGTGGGGTCTCTGTGTGAGTCTGTGGGGTCTCTGTGTGAGTCTGTGGGGTCTCTGTGTGAGTCTGTGTGTCTGTGTGGGTCTCTGTGTTAGTCTGTGGGTCTCTGTGCGAGTCTGTGGGTCTCTGTGTGAGTCTGTGGGTCTCTGGGTATCTGTGTGAGTCTGTGGGGTATCTGTGTGAGTCTGTGTATGTCGGTGTGGGTCTCTGTGTTAGTCTGTGGGTCTCTGTGCGAGTCTGTGGGTCTCTGTGGGGTCTTTGTGTGAGTCTATGGGTCTCTGTGTGCGTCTCTGGGTCTCTGTGTGAGTCTGTGGGTCTCTGTGTGAGTCTGCGGGGTCTCTGTGTAAGTCTATGGGTCTCTGTAGGGTCTCTGTGTGAGTCTGTATGGGTCTCTGTGTGAGAGTGTGTGTGTCTCTGTGTGAGTCTGTGTGTCTCTGTGAGTCTGTGTGGGTCTCTGTGTGAGTCTGTGGGGCCTGTGAGTCTGTGGGTCTCTGTGTGAGTCTGTACGTCTCTGTTTGAGTCTGTGGGTATCTGTGTGAGTCTGTGTGGGTCTCTGAGTCTGTAGGGTCTCTGTGAGTCTGTGTGGGTCTCTGTGTGAGTCTTTGGGTCTCTGTTTGAGTCTGTGTGGGTATCTGTGTGAGTCTGTGTGGGTCTCTGTGTGAGTCTGTGGGTCTCTGTGTGAGTCTGTGGGGTCTCTGTGTGAGTCTGTGGGGTCTCTGTGGGTCTCTATGTGAGTTTGTGGGGTCTCTGTGTGAGTCTGTGGGTCTCTGTGTGAGTCTGTGTGTCTCTGTGGGGTCTCTGTGTGAGTCTGTGGGGTCTCTGTGTGAGTCTGTGGGGTCTCTGTGTGAGTCTGTGGGTCTCTGTGTGAGTATGTGGGTCTCTGAGCATCTGTGTGAGTCTGTGGGTCTCTGTGTGAGTCTGTGGGGTCTCTGTGTGAGTCTGTGGGGTGTCTGTGTGGATCAGTGTGGGTCTCTGTGTGAGTCTCTGTGTGAGCCTGTGTGGGTCTCTGTGTGAGTCTCTGTGTGAGTCTGTGTGGGTCTCTGTGTTAGTCTGTGGGTCTCTGTTGGGCTCTGTGTGAGTCTGTGGGTCTCTGTGGGGTCTCTGTGTGAGTCTGTGGGGTCTCTGTGTGAGTCTACGGGTCTCTGTAGGGTCTCTGTGTGAGTCTGTATGGGTCTCTGTGTGAGAGTGTGTGTGTCTCTGTGTGAGTCTGTGTGTCTCTGTGAGTCTGTGTGGGTCTCTGTGTGAGTCTGTGGGGCCTGTGAGTCTGTGGGTCTCTGTGTGAGTCTGTACATCTCTGTTTGATTCTGTGGGTATATGTGTGAGTCTTTGGATATCTGTGTGAGTCTGTGTGGGTCTCTGAGTCTGTAGGGTCTCTGTGTGAGTCTTTGGGTCTCTGTTTGAGTCTGTGTGGGTCTCTGTGTGAGTCTGTGGGTCTCTGTGTGAGTCTATGGGGTCTCTGTGTGAGTCTGTGGGGTCTCTGTGGGTCTCTATGTGAGTTTGTGGGGTCTTTGTGTGAGTCTGTGGGTCTCTGTGTGAGTCTGTGGGTCTCTGTGGGGTCTCTGTGTGAGTCTGTTGGGTCTCTGTGTGAGTCTGTGGGTCTCTGTGTGAGTCTGTGGGGTCTCTGTGTGAGTCTGTGGGTCTCTGTGTGAGTATGTGGGTCTCTGAGTATCTGTGTGAGTCTGTGGGTCTCTGTGTGAGTCTGTGGGTCTCTGTGTGAGTCTGTGGGGTCTCTGTGTGAATCTGTGGGGTGTCTGTGTGGGTCTGTGTGGGTCTCTGTGTGAGTCTCTGTGTGAGCCTGTGTGGGTCTCTGTGTGAGTCTTTTTGTGAGTCTGTGTGGGTCTCTGTGTGAGTCTGTGGGTCTCTGTGTGAGTCTGTGGGTCTCTGTGTGAGTATGTGGGTCTCTGAGTATCTGTGTGAGTCTGTGGGTCTCTGTGTGAGTCTGTGGGGTCTCTGTGTGAGTCTGTGGGGTGTCTGTGTGGGTCTGTATGGGTTTCTGTGTGAGTCTCTGTGTGAGTCTGTGTGGGGGTCTCTGTGTGAGTCTGTGTGAGTCTGTGTGGGTCTCTGTGTGAGTCTGTGGGGTCTCTGTGTGAGTCTGTGGGGTCTCTGTGTGAGTCTGTGGGGTCTCTGTGTGAGTCTGTGGGTCTCTGTGTGAGTCTGTGGGGTCTCTGTGTGAGCCTGTGGGTCTCTGTGTGAGTCTTTGGGGTCTCTGTGTGAGTCTGTGGGGTCTCTGTGTGTGAGTCTGTGGGGTCTCTGTGTGAGTCTGTGGGTCTCTGTGTGAGTCTGTGGGGTCTCTGTGTGAGTCTGTGGGTCTCTGTGTGAGTCTGTGGGTCTCTGTATGAGTCTGTGGGGTCTCTGTGTGAGTCTGTGGGTCTCTGTGTGAGTCTGTGGGGTCTCTGTGTGAGTCTGTGGGGTCTCTGTGTGAGTCTGTGGGTCTCTGTGTGAGTATGTGGGTCTCTGAGTATCTGTGTGAGTCTGTGGGTCTCTGTGTGAGTCTGTGGGGTCTCTGTGTGAGTCTGTGGGTCTCTGTGTGAGTATGTGGGTCTCTGAGTATCTGTGTGAGTCTGTGGGCCTCTGTGTGAGTCTGTGGGGTCTCTGTGTGAGTCTGTGGGGTGTCTGTGTGGGTCTGTGTGGGTCTCTGTGTGAGTCTCTGTGTGAGTCTGTGTGGGTCTCTGTGTGAGTCTGTGTGAGTCTGTGTGGGTCTCTGTGTGAGTCTGTGGGGTCTCTGTTGGTCTCTGTGTGAGTCTGTGGGTCTCTGTGGGGTCTCTGTGTGAGTCTGTGGGGTCTCTGTGTGAGTCTGTGGGGTCTCTGTGTGAGTCTGTGGGTCTCTGTGTGAGTCTGTGGGGTCTCTGTGTGAGTCTGTGGGTCTCTGTGTGAGTCTGTGGGTCTCTGTGTGAGTCTGTGGGGTCTCTGTGTAAGTCTGTGGGGTCTCTGTGTGTGAGTCTGTGTGGGTCTCTGTGTGAGTCTGTGGGGTCTCTGTGTGGGTCTGTGGGTCTCTGTGTGTGAGTCTGTGGGTCTCTGTGTGAGTCTGTGGGTCTCTGTGTGAGTCTGTGGGGTCTCTGTGTGAGTCTGTGAGGTCTCTGTGTGTGAGTCTGTGGGTCTCTGTGTGAGTCTGTGGGTCTCTGTGTGAGCCTGTGGGTCTCTGTGTGAGTCTGTGGGTCTCTGTGTGAGTCTGTGGGGTCTCTGTGTGAGTCTGTGGGGTCTCTGTGTGTGAGTCTGTGTGGGTCTCTGTGTGAGTCTGTGGGGTCTCTGTGTGGGTCTGTGGGTCTCTGTGTGTGAGTCTGTGGGTCTCTGTGTGAGTCTGTGGGGTCTCTGTGTGGGTCTGTGGGTCTCTGTGTGTGAGTCTGTGGGTCTCTGTGCGAGTCTGTGGGTCTCTGTGTGAGTCTGTGTGGGGTGTCTGATGTGAGTCTGTGGGTATCTAGTGATGATGCTGCTAATGATGCTAATGATGATGCTGATAATGATGCTGCTGCTGATGATACTGCTGATGATGCTGTTGATGATGATGCTGCTGCTGCTGATACTGCTGATGATGATGCTGCTGCTGATGATGCTCCTGCTGATGATGCTGCCGGCTGACCATGAGGAAGGGGAAGACGACGCTGATGATGATGAAGCTGCCCCAGTTCACCGTCCCGGCGATCACGAATGCCCCCGGTCGCTCGCTCTGCATGAACAGCTCGGCCGGGAGGATGCCGATGATCCCGGCTAAGGGTGAAACCCGCGCACGGACACGCACGGACACGGGGCAAGAGAGGAGGGAGACAGTGGGCGCTGTAGGAGGTTCTCGACTGCCGACACAAGCAATCGCCATCAGGCGCGCGAGGAAAAGCCTCAGCCAAGAACACTTCGCCCCGTTTCACAGCTTCCCGCAAGGACCACGGAGTTGCGAAACCCCACGGCGGGGGGGGGGGGGGGGGGGAGGGGGAGCCCCCCATCTCAACCGAGGCCCTCGCAAGGGCCGGGTAAGTAGCGGACACCGGCGGAGGAGACCCACAACTCGCCCTGGGATGGGTCGGGTCAGCGCGGCGGCCATCCACCGGGTGGACATCAAGGGGAGGAGACGCGCCAAGGGCCCCCCCCGCTGGGAGGAGACGCGCCAAGGGCCCCCCCCGCTGGGAGGAGCCGCCCAAGGGCCCCCCCGCTGGGAGGAGACGCGCCAAGGGCCCCCCCGCTGGGAGGAGACGCCCAAGGGCCCCCCCGCTGGGAGGAGACGCCCAAGGGCCCCCCCGCTGGGAGGAGACGCCCAAGGGCCCCCCCAGCTGGGACGAGCCGCCCAAGGGCCCCCCCCGCTGGGAGGAGACGCCCAAGGGCCCCCCCGCTGGGACGAGCCGCCCAAGGGCCCCCCCGCTACCCGCCCAAGGGCCCCCCGCTGGGAGGGGCCACCCAAGGGTTCTCCGCTGGGAGGAGCCACCCAAGGGCCCCCCGCTACCCGCCCAAGGGCCCCCCCGCTGGGACGAGCCGCCCAAGGGCCCCCCACCCTTCAGAACGACAGCTACTATCGCATTAACAAAATAAAATGGCTTCCGCTCTGGACGGCGCCTATCCGCGTTTTTTATTTTATCGCGGCGATCTTGAAAGGCTTTTGGAAGGCCGTCGAAGCTCCCGGGGCCGATGCCGCCGTTGTTTTGTGGTTTGGGACTCAGGCAGGCGAGCTGTTGGCTACGGGGGGGGGGGGGGGGGGGTGTTTGGGGTCACCCGTTGCATCACGTGGTTTATTGTGAACAAACTAACAAACAAATAAAAAATAAATAAATAAAATTCGGTCGTGGTTCCTGCGATCACTGTTACGTTGCAATTCCGGCTTTGGTTTTGTGGCGATTTCGAAAGTGGTTTTTGTTGGTGGTGGTGGTGGTTTGGGCATGTTTGGGGGATTGCCCGATGATGCTGGGGGTGTAGTTACCAGCGGAGCGTCGTACTATCAACTCAAACTGTGAATGTTTTATATTTTTTTATTATTTTATTGTTTCCCTTCTAACGTGGTGGTTTTCACACCTGATGATGACTGTTTGTGTTTCAGTTGTAAACGTCGTGAGAATTTTAATGTTTTATATTTTTATTATTTTATTGTTTCCCTTCTAACGTGGTGGTTTTCACACCTGATGATGACTGTTTGTGTTTCAGTCATAAACGTCGTGAGAATTTAAACGTTTTATATTTTTATTATTTTATTGTTTCCCTTCTACGTGGTGGTTTTCACACCTGATGATGACTGTTTGTGTTTCAGTTGTAAACGTCGTGAGAATTGTATTGTTTTATATTTTTATTATTTTATTGTTTCCCTTCTACGTGGTGGTTTTTCACACCTGATGATGATTGCTGCTTTGTGTTGCAGTCGAAACGTCGTGAGAATTTTATTGTTTTGTATATTTTTTAATTATTTTATTGTTTCCCTTCAACGTGACTTTACCGAAAGAACCAAGAATAATAATAATAATCTTGTTGTTGTTGTTGTTTGACACGTAGTAGGCTTTCGCTACCAACATTATTCATAACAAAGGTGTTTTGGGCTAGATCGCGTTATGTATAAATGTGTCGTGACCCTCCACCACCCGACACGGCCAATCAAACTGCGAATGTTGTGGATTCACTCTTCAACAACACCACCGGTGTTGGGCTAAAGTAGTGGAACTAATTCGTTCTTTTTGTCAACGTGACGCTTTGCTTTTTGCCGATTTGGCCCGTGCCGGGTGGTGGAGGGTTAACGACACATTTATAAATGACGTGATCTCACCCAAAAAAAAACACCTTTATCATGACTAATGAATTGGACATGTTTGTATTGTTGTAGTACGGAGTTAGACTGATGGCCTTAATCTAAGTTGTCTTGTGGTTGTTGTTGTTGTTTGACTTACATCCCACTGGGATTTTTTGCACACAGCGGTGGTGGTGGTGGTGTACGTAGGCTGCTTTTTTTCAGGAATATTTTTGCTGGTTTTTATTTCCCCCCCCCCCCCCCCCCCCCCCCCCATGGATTTTCTGTTTTGCACAGTCAACGCGTAGTCACTTTAAGGTGTTTTTCCTGTTCGTGTTTTTTTTTGTTGTGTGTTTGTTGTGATTGTACCCGATTCGAGAGCCGAATGGCTCACAGGGCTACACCAAAACACTTGGTGCTTTCGGTAAAGTCACGCAGAAGGAAAACAATAAAATAATAAAAAAAATATTAAACGATAAAAGCTACTAAATTTTGACTTAAAGCTTTCGTGACTGCAGTAATTCATATTCTTAGCTCTTTCGGTAAAGTCACGTTGAAGGGAAACAATAAAATAATAAAATATATATAACAATATACATTCTTACGACGTTTCGAACATAACACAAACGGTCGTCATCAGGTGTGTCGGTTTGCATGATAAACCATTTCGGGTCTTAATTGATTGTTCACGCTTACGGTGGCTTTCAGACAGCATACATTAAATTTTCGTCTCCCCCGTCCTCTTTTCAGAACATAGATGGACTCGTCCTTCTAAATAAACTGCCAAATCGCTGCGCGTGGCGCTGACGTTTTTTTTATAAATAAATAAATGCGCCGTTTAAAAATAATTTTTTAATGCGAACCGATACACCTGATGACGACCGTTTGTGTTATGGTCGAAACGTCGTGAGAATTTTTGTTATTGTTTTATATATATTTTATTATTTTATTGTTTCCCTTCAACGTGACTTTACCGAAAGAGCTAAGGAAATAAAAGCTACTATTTGTGTTGATTTTATATAAACGCGCGTCCTCTAGAAGACATCTCCCCGAAGTTATGCCCACGACTCACGCACAGAGACCCATAGAACTCACACAGAGACCCATAGAACTCACACAGAGACCCATAGAACTCACACAGAGACACAAAGAACTCACACAGAGACCCATAGAACTCACACAGAGACCCATAGAACTCACACAGAGACCCATAGAACGCACACACACAGAGACCCATAGAACTCACACACACAGAGACCCATAGAACTCGCACAGAGACACAAAGAACTCACACAGAGACCCATAGAACTCACACAGAGACACAAAGAACTCACACAGAGACCCATAGAACTCGCACAGAGACCCATAGAACTCGCACAGAGACACAAAGAACTCAAACAGAGACCCATAGAACTCGCACAGAGACCCATAGAACTCACACAGAGACCCATAGAACTCACACAGAGACCCATAGAACTCACACAGAGACCCATAGAACTCGCACAGAGACCCATAGAACTCACGCAGAGACCCATAGAACTCGCACAGAGACCCATAGAACTCACACAGAGACCCATAGAACTCACACAGAGACCCATAGAACTCAAACAGAGACCCATAGAACTCACACAGAGACCCATAGAACTCACACAGAGACCCATAGAACTCACACAGAGACCCATAGAACTCACACAGAGACCCATAGAACTCACACAGAGACCCATAGAACTCACAAAGACCCATAGCACTCGCACAGAGACCCATAGAACTCACACAGAGACCCATAGAATTCACACAGAGACCCATAGAACTCGCACAGAGACCCATAGAACTCACACGGAGACCCATAGAACCCACACAGAGACTCATAGAACTCACACAGAGACCCATAGAACTCACACAGAGACCCATAGAACTCACACAGAGACCCGTAGAACTCACAGAGACCCATAGAACTCAGACAGAGACCCATAGAACTCACACAGAGACCCATAGAACTCACACAGAGACCCGTAGAACTCGTAAAGAGACACATAGAACTCGCACAGAGACCCATAGAACTCGCAAAGAGACCCATAGAACTCACACACACAGAGACCAATATAACTCGCACAGAGACCCATAGAACTCACACAGAGACCCATAGAACTCACACAGAGACCCATAGAACTCAGCCAGAGACCCATAGAACTCACACAGAGACCCATAGAACACACACAGAGACCTATATAACTCACACAGAGACCCATAGAACTCGCACAGAGACCCATAGAACTCACACAGAGACCCATAGAACTCACACAGAGACCCATAGAACTCACACAGAGACCCATAGAACTCACACAGAGACCCATAGAACTCAAACAGAGACCCGTAGAACTCGCACAAAGACCCATAGAACTCACACAGAGACCCATAGAACTCGCACAGAGACCCATATAACTCGCACAGAGACCCATAGAACTCGCACAGAGACCCATAGAACTCACACAGAGACCCATAGAACACACACAGAGACCCATAGAACTCACACAGAGACCCATAGAACTCGCACAGAGACCCATAGAACTCACACAGAGACCCATATAACTCACACAGAGACCCATAGAACTCACACAGAGACCCATAGAACTCACACAGAGACCCGAAGAACTTACAGAGACCCATAGAACTCACACAGAGACCCATAGAACTCGCACAGAGACCCATAGAACTCACACAGAGACCCATAGAACTCACACAGAGACCCATAGAACTCACACAGAGACCCATAGAACTCACACAGAGACCCATAGAACTCACACAGAGACTCATAGAACTCACACACACAGAGACCCATAGAACTCACACAGAGACCCATAGAACTCACACAGAGACCCATAGAACTCACACAGAGACCCATAGAACTCGCACAGAGACCCATAGAACTCACAGAGACCCATAGAACTCACACAGAGACCCATAGAACTCACACAGAGACACAAAGAACTCACACAGAGACCCATAGAACTCACACAGAGACCCATAGAACTCGCACAGAGACCCATAGAACTCACACACAGAGACCCATAGAACTCACACAGAGACACAAAGAACTCACACAGAGACCCATAGAACCCACACAGAGACCCATAGAACTCACACAGAGATCCATAGAACTTAC